GCTGAATGATTTTTGGCCGATCCGGTTAATTTATTATTTCGGCATAATAGATTCAATAAAAATTGGTACGTACGTGCGTACAAATTTTTATTGAATCTATTATCCGAAATAATAAATTAACCGGATCGGCCGAAAATCATTCGGCTAATTTTTTATACCGTATAAACGTGGAATAACGCCCACTTGTGCGTTAATTAATTAACCTGTGCGTTATTTTGAATATGCCCATGTGCGTTTTTTCGAAATATAGATTAAATAAACACCTCTTCATTATAAAAAGTATAGTAAGAAATGAAGTGCTCCTGAACTGGATTTTATACTAAGTAAACCTGCTTATACCATTGTTATAATTGTCTTAGTACAAAGAACAACTTTTATTAGATCACGAAAGCAGGTTTACTTAGTACCAAATCATTCTGAAGCACTTTTTATTCTTTATTTTTTTATAGAGGTATGCACATTAATTCACGCACATGGGCGTTAATTCGAAATTACGTATACTATTTTTAAAGATTCTGATTTTCAAAATAACGCCCACGGCCGTTATTCCGTGTTTATACGGCAGGTGTCCCAGGAATTATGAAGAAAACAGCTGTAAGCCGAAAGAATTGCTTAACCGGAACGGCCGAAAAATCATTCGGCAGATTTTTTTATCAGGTGTTTCAGAAATTATGAAAACAGCTGTAATATATCTACCAATAAAATAAGTCCTCCATGCATATAATGTGACATAAACAAAGTTGAATTGTCAGTACTTGCGAAATCGTGACAGTTTCAGTTTCTAATCTTTTTTACATTGATGTATCTTAATATAAATTCTAATTAGCGACATACTGTATAATGCGTAATTGAAAGCCTATATACTCAAATTTCATAATATGTATTTTTAATTGGACTACACTTGATTTATTTCAAGAAAAAACCCATTTATATACAATCATTACACTTAATTCGCTTGGCATAACACCAAAATTATCAATAAAAAATCAGATCGTTATAATTATTAACTAAATAAAAAGATACAATTGAAAAATGGCATAAAGTATGGGGGCTTTGTAGTTGAAAGAGTCGAAAAAATGTGATTTGAAATAATCAAGTTTATTGTGTTTTGAAATTATTAATAATTTCGGATGGCAAATCACAAATCACCTAAAATTTTTTTGTGCCAATAGATTTTTTCTTAACGGGTTTATTATATTAATAAATTTAATTATGATTATATGACTTGATTTATTTACTTGATTGATTACTAGTAGATAGAATTAATTGCTCTGATTTTAAATTAATTACATAATTTCAGGTATATAAACAATTACTATAATGATTATATTAGTTTTTATTAAATATATTAGCTATATAAGTTAACTATTAGAGCTAAATTGTGCTAATATTATAAAAAGCACTTCCAAATAATAGTAACAATATTGATTCTAAAATAATCTACTTTATTTTATAATTTATAAGTAATATATACTAATTCTAGATTGATCTAAATTCTATAATAACTAGATAGCTGCGCGACGCCATCGCGCAAAACCAGGAACGGAACTTAACTAACTACTCAAGATTTGCTTAAATGCAGAAAAATAATTTTCCTTTTAAAAATTTAGATTGTATATAAATAATTTTACTCCCACAACTAACATATCTACCTAAACTAAATCTAGTTGGGCCGAGGATAATTTAGTCCTAGCTGTAGATCCCTGTAATTATTCAATAAAGACCAAGGCCAGGCCTCACTCTTAAAAAAAAAAATAATAATAATAATAATTTTACTAGTAAACACAACCTTTGATAACATTATTGGTGTCTCAAATCTCTATCTCAATTTGAAATTCAATCAATCTAGAATGCAGTTATTATTGCTCAATCAGATGACAAATGACTTTATTAAAACACAATAAAAAGCATATGGGAATCTGCTTAATATCATTACAGGCCCAACCTCCTATAACTGAAATATTAAGCAAACAATGTTATTCAATTAACTGGCAATAAACCTACTCTTAACATATTGAAACTACTACGCCTAAACAAAACTATTTGATCAAACTATAATGCCTAAGCAATCGGGGACAGGTCGTTAAGGAGAGATCCATTTAGCTTCAAAGAGAATCGAATATGTAGTCACTCATGACGCGAAGCCCAAAACTTATCTTACAAAGGTCTTCGTATTGCTACTATATCCGCGGTGCTTAATTATCACCAAACAAGGTTCTTGCACCACTATTGCAACTGCGGGGCCTAATTACTACTAGCAAGGTTCTTACGTGCCATTTAACCTATTAAACCAAGTATCAATCATTGCCTTATCTGCTGAGTCAAAATGAGCGAAAAATGACCTCTCACAACTGAACAACAACTTTTAACTACACTGATTATCAAAAATTGTTTCTTTGTCATTTTGTTAATAAGCTCTTCATTACAATTTTATTGTTTTTTTAAAAAAAAAAAACTGGTAATGGCCAGAAAATTCGCACACGAGGTCTAATTACATATTGATCTACATACTGAATAAATTGTACAGTATTCTTAATATTATTATAAGCATTAACGTTAACCATAACAGCATCAAAAAAGTAATCCTTAACCGGACATGGCTTTAGCCATTCCCAATTTTAGACAATGTGCATGTGAAAAATCAAATCTGCATTCACGAGGGATGGTTAGGTTGGTTTAGATTTGGTTTTGGTTTCAAAATCTTTAAGTTCCATTTTGTAAACCTAAGAACTTGGTTTTAAAAAGTTCTGAAACCTGGTTCCGAAACTTGGTTCTGAAACCTGATTCCGAAACCTGGTTCTAGAACCTGAATCAGATATAAGTTTATAGTATAGTCAGACCCTCCAAATGCAACCCCCTATATGCATTTCCGAAAGCCCTTCTAAATATATGTCTTCATTTGGGTCCAACTAATACAGTGAAATCTCCATAAATGCACCTCTATAAGTGCACACCCTCTCTAAAGCATTCTTAAATTCGGGCCAAAATAAATACATGACCTCTATAAATGCACCTTTCTTGTTGTTCTCTAAGAACCTATAATGAATTTAAGAACCTATTATGAACCTAAGAACCTATCATGACCTAAAAACCTAGGTTCCAAAATTGGAAACTGGTTTTTAAAAACCAGGTTCTAAGGTTCCGAACCTAGGAACTTTACCATCCCTACTCATGCCCTTACACTATGCAATATAACGCCAATCATTTGCAAGATTTGGTGGAGTAACATCAGTGATTATTTTTCGCTGTGCGAACTGTGCGCAGCATACAAAACCAAAATTTTGTGCACATTTCTTTTGAACAGATGTACAGAAAAAATTGACATTTTGTAAGTAGCGCGCATACTTGTAAAAAGTTCTTTATAGTTTTTCTTTATTTGTCGCACAGAAAAGTTTCCAAATTGTGCGGCATCCGCACAGTAAATTTTAACTGAAAAATTAGCACTGAGTAACCCAATTAAGTATTTAGCCTTAATAACCAAAAAAAGACGAACATGTTTACTGTATATTTAAATCATTTACCAAAAAAATAAAAGTGCAATAATTATAATAATTACGCATATGATCATACGATCATTGTATAAAACTTGATTTTTCAACATGAGAAGCCTAATCTCCAGCTAAAAAAAACTTGATATGTTGATCTCATGAGAAGCCACATTTAATTATTTATTAGCGTTAGTGATTTATAAATAATATATAGCAGGTTTTATCCTGTTCCATCATAAATATAAATCAACAGCGGTTAAGCTTGGTTTTTTACAAAAATTTCTAAAGAAGCAAAATTCAATATCAACTTGCGCCCACTATCATATGTATAAAAAGAAGATATGTTAATGCGTAGTTACGATCAAAATGGCGTTGTCAGATATCCATAATCAAAATAGCATACGTATACTGTATTGATAAGTACAATGTGAAGCCGTCCATTCTTTACAGATAATACCTTTTATCTTAAATTATACGTTAGGTAATTTATCCTTTTTCAAAAAAACTAGGGTTAGATTAGTATATTTTTAATTCGTATTAAATAAATATTTATAAAAAAATGAATTAATCCTATTAGAATTCTAACGCAATCAAGAAAAATTTTGTCATGATTTTATAGCACCAATTAGCATCAATAAATGGAAAACTATAAATTTAACAGAGGATGGTGCAATTTTGACATTGCTCAAGGTTTGAAGTTATACAGTTTCAATTTCTAAACAGCATACCCATCAAATTCAGCTTCAACCAAACCTGCATATTCAATAATACCAGTAGATTATATTGAATATATTCTTAATAATCCAACAATTGTGTCTAATTTATACTTTGGCCCTGGTATTGTATGTGATGAAAAACGTAAGTTCTGGTATGGTACACTCTGGCAGGACTTGCTTTTATTTGGAGAAACTAAACTTTGTGTAAATAATGGTTAGCAGTTTTTTTTTATTTTAGCAATAATAAAACTTAGCACTCTGGTTTATCATATTAATTAGTCTTTTTTTAATAGTTACTTATTAAGCAGGCAATTTTTTACATTATCACCAAGACAAAGCAATTAAGTTTGCACATATTCGTAGTGTTGTTGAAGTTAATAAGAGGCAATTACTCAGAGTTGATCTGCTTGTTCTATATAGTAGGCTTCCTAGACACTTGCGTAGTATGAATAGAAAAGCATGTAGAATGAATATGGAAGAACTTTGGCTTGTTGAAGGACAAGAGTGTTTAATTATACCTGAAAATATTACTTAAATTAATGTTTGGTTAAAGGATCTTGATAGGCCAGTAGAATATGAATATTTTGTAACTGAAATATTATATAGTTTTAATAGTCAGTGGCATATTTGTAACCTTACTAAAAGACACAGAGCTCCTTATGAATATATACCTATTTCACTATTACCACCATGACCAATATCTATTAAAAAGGTTTTTCTTATCTATTTCGATGATTTTGGAATATTTCGTAATTCATATCATTTATTAGGAGGGGTTTATTTAGTTATTGGAAATATGCCACTTGATTTACGAAAACTACTCAAAAATTATTTTCTACTTGACTTTGTTCTATTTGGGGCTTCATTTAAAGATTTTATTAAACCAATTCTTGATAATATTCGCCAATTACAATCTAGAAAAATTATAAATATTTTGGAAAAAGAAATATGGCTTATTAGTGGACTTGGCTTTATTACAGCCAATTTGCCACAAGGTAATGACCTTGCTAGTGTGCTTAGACATAATGCAAATTATAGTTGCAGAACTTGTTCTGTATCTAGTAGCCAATTAACAAACTCCAACTTTGACTTTGTTGCGAATACATGCTTTCACCACTTAACCAATATACAATATAATGAAATTGAATAGCAACAAACAAACTCTACTCGTCGACAACTATCTAGTCAATATAAACTTAGTGCAAAGCCAGTTCTTGATGCTCTTTATTGAGACAGATATTTACAATTACTACAAGATGCTTATCATGCACTTTCTAGTAAAGCTACATATCTTATAGATATAACTCTTAAATATTTAAATACTAATAGAGAAGTAGCTTGCCTTAAATATTGAAAAAGTATCAAAAAACTAGTAAGATGGTCACAGATGCCAAATCCGCTAACCTATCGTCATAGTTTTATATTTTCAGATACTTTATGCCTGGCAATATTAATGCCATTTATTCTACATTACTTTTTATCATCTTCATATTTAAAGGCTGAAATAATTGAATATTTAAAAAATGTATATAAGTTTACTCGTAATGATCATGCTATTATTAAACTAATAGAACTTTAGGTAGTTGAAGCAAAACTGCTTAAGTTGGCTTTCTCAACAACAATAACAAATAACACTTATAAGGAGCTTCGCAGTTTGTTTGAAAAAGAATGAATTGGTTTTTTGAAAAATTTTCTAGACATATTTGAAAACTTACCTAATGTTCATGTAAATGTCTATTTGCTACAACATGCTCGTATATTTGCAACTCTTGTGAACACATCTGTTGGAGTCAAAGAAATGGTATACAGAACATACAAAAATATTGTACCACATATTAATTACAAAAATATTGAACTAGATCTCCTTCGGCGATATAATACCTCATTTGCATTAACTCACTTATTTGATAGTGGCAAAGATTACCATTTTCTAACAACTATAAATAAAT